ACCCCTGCATTCATTCATCACAGTGGCACTGGAAACTGCAGCATGTCACTCAGTCTATTATTATTTTTTGCCCACACAGCTCTTCATGCAAATATTCATGGCCACGAGCACTGGTCTGGTAGGCCTCTGGTCTCTGAAGCACTGTAAGGAGCAGACCATTGCAGAGACAGCCATGCTTTAGGTTTTCATCTTTGGTGGCAATGCTGTGTTCTCGGATCCGGTTCTGCAGCAGTGGTTCCTCCTTGAGGCTCCTCAGCTCAGAGGTGGAGTAGCTTGACCTACATAAAGTGCTAGATCTGGGCCTGGATGTCTGTCGAGTTGGTCAGGTCACCCCCTCACAGTGGTGGGCTTTTCCGGGTGGGCATGACGGGAAAGTTCTACTAATGCCACCTGGAGAAAAGGAACCTGGGACCAAGGTAGAGTTTGTGAGCCTTTATGCATGAGCAGGTGGAACAGGTTATGGGACAAGGTAGTGGTGGGTGATCCACAAGTTGGTTATTTGGGTCTGCGAATGAGGAGCTGCTGAAGTACATATGCGGAGTGCCCATCCCTGGGTGAGAAGGCCTCATTTCTTTGACAGGTATTCTACAGGTACAAAGGGAGGCCACACAGTTGGTGGCCTAGGACTCTGAGGGCACAGCTCTCTTTTTCTGTATATAGAGGGAAAAGGGATGGGTTAGCTTTAGAAGGTGTAGTGTTGGGGCCTAAAGGAGGGCCTGCGGGAGCTTCTGAAACGGCTGTGAGGAGGGGTTCATGGGCTGCCTTATATAGAGGGTGGGCAAGCATGCAAAAGGAGGGGACCCAGGAGTCTAAGAGGGTCAGTCTAGGTGAAAGCAAAGGTGGTTTGTGACTGTATGTGAAGGGGGACATCAAAAGCATCCTTGAGAAATGGGAGGTTCCTGAGGGGATAATGGAAAGGAGTGTGTCCGGGTAGAAGGGGGACCACTGCAGAATTGAAGAGATGGAGATCTTGAACCAGGCAGTAAGCGCCATTGGACTTTTTAGCGGCAAGTATAGGGGTGCTAAAGGGGAATGATGTGGGATGAAGTAGATTTTTCTTTTCTTAGGAGGTCAGAGATGACAGGTTTCAATCCCCTGAGGCTCTGGAGTGAGAGCAGGCCCTGGGCTTGGGTGCACTGGGTAGGGTCTTATAACTGAGGGAATGGTGCTTGGCAACCTCAGACTTGGGGGTCCACCTGTGAAGCGTGTTGGAGCCAGTAGGTTGGGTGGCTAGGAGGGGAGGCTACTGGTGAGCTTGGGGTCAAGAAATGGGGAGCAAAGGAAATAAAGGTTCCCACTTTGACTAGAAGACCCCTTCCTAGTAAGGGCTGCCAGGTTGACACCAGCAGGAAGAAATGAGAGGAACATTTCTCCCTGAAAATCCAATTGAGTGATAAGGTCTGGTGAGGTTGTAAGACTGTCTTCCTACCCCAACAATAGGGGAATGAGGAGAGGTGGGTACCCAAAACTTCAGGACCAAGTAAGTAGTTCTGGTGTCCAGGAGGAAGAAGGATGGACTGCCCTGATACTGTGTAACAACTATCCAGGGCTCTCTGTCAGCGATGACAATTGGTCTGGCCAAGGGAGCCCAGAGCCCCCTCAATCACCCATGGCTAGACCTAAAAGGTTGGCTGAAGGGTGGCCTAAGTCTGATGTCCCCATGTCTTGAAGGACACGGAGCAGTCAACAGTCCAATGTCGCTCTTGATGGCACCTTGGACATTGTTGAGATGGCCTGTGGGAGTTAGGGCAGGCCCAGGTGCAGTGACCCTCCTGACTATGTTGGAGGCAGGGACCTGGTGGCAGATGCGGAAGCTGGTTAATGGCCTTGGGCAGCGTTTGCTATTTCTTTTCTGTTTACGAGCCTTCTCATCTCTCCCCTGGTACACCTTAAAGGCCAGTGCTAAGACTTCTGCCTGTGGGTTTATGGGTCCTCTCTCCAGATGCTTAAGCTTAACCTTAATGTTGAGGAAACTCTGGGGAAAGAAAGAGGTGATGAGTTGTTTACCCTCTGGGTTTTGGGAGCCTAGACTGGTACACTCTAAGAGGAGGTTTATGAGCATTCTAGGAAATGACAGGTTTTCTTATTTGTGCGGGACAATCTCTCGGAGTTTCTCATAGTTTACTGGTTTGAAGGCAGCCTTAAGGGGACCAGCCTCCTGGGGCATTGTAGTTCCACTGGCAATCCCGACTGGGTGTGTATGCTGCATCTACAAGTGCTCCAGCCTGTTCCCAAACTTGCTTGTGCTCTTCACGAAGTAGGTTGTTAGTTAGAATCATATATATGTCATGGAAGGTGAGATTATAGGATTGAGTGATATGTTGGATTTTTTTAAATGAAAGTAGAGGAGTGAGTTCTCAGTTCTTTTTCTATCTGAGAGAGTTCCCTTAGTGAAAAAGGGACATGTACCTTTGCCGTGGAATAATGGTCTTATAAACGGTAAAGATTTGTTACTTGTATTAGTTTAATAAAATGCTGACTGGCCAGTAGCTAGGCAGGAAGTATAGGCAGGGTGACCAGAATAGGAGAATTCTGGGAAGAGGAGAGGCAGAGATGCCAGATGCATCTGCCAGTCAGATGCAGAAAAAGCAAGATGAGAAAGCCTTCCTGAGAAAAGGTACTAAGCCATGTGGCTAAACATAGATAAAAAATTATGGATTAAGTTGTAAGAGCTAGATGATAATAAGTTTGAGCAAAAGGTCAAACAATTTATAAATAATATAAGCCTCTGTGTTTGGGACTGAACGGCTGAGGGACCAGGCAGGACAGAAACTTCTATCTACATACCCTGACCAGGTTGTCTACCCTGGCAGTCTCCTGTAAAGAGAGAATGGGGGCCAGGTTAAGTCCGGTTAGGAGAGGTAGAGGGAGTCCCACAGTGGAGCAGGAGTAAGTAGCAGGGGGACTGAAGTGGTTGCTAGTAAGGGAGGGTTAGGGCAGCCTGCTGCTGGAGAGGGAGAAAAAGAGACTGAAGGAGCTGTAGGTTGATGCTGGTAAGAGGGAGGAGGCCTCATTAGCAGGATCAAGAGCAGGGAAGGAATCATCTGTGCAGAAGGAGCTAAGTTTGAGGAACAGGAAGAATAGAGGGAAGGCTTGGAATAAAGGTAAAAGAAAGCTTGCACATAGGGAATCTCTCTCCATTTCCCAATCACTGTCAGGAGCTGTAAAGTCCTGAATAATACTGGGATCTTGGGTGCTGTTGGACAGTTGGGTCTGTGCAGGTGGACTGGAGATAAGAGAGAGAGTCCCAGTGGAGCTTAGTCCCCCAAAGGGAAGCAGAGGCACTAGGATATTCTACCAAGTCTTGGCACCAATGTTAGTTTTGTTTTGCTATTTTTTTTTTAAAGAAAAACACTAGAGGGACAAGGAATACCACAAAGTCACACCATGCAGAGGCTCTCACTTGAGATTTATTGGGGGGTTCCCCTGAATGAGGATGGAAGAAAGAGAACGGGCCGTGATGAAGGTTTTGGGCTTAGCATACGCACATAGGGGGAATATATGACTCATGGCAACAGTGAAAATGTGTCACATTTGATAGGTGGGTGATGACATGGCCACTTGTGCTGGGTCATTGAAGGCAGGCTAGGGAGCACCTGGTTCTGGAACGTGGGTGAATTTTGGTTTTCCAACAAATGTACCTTGGGCATCCCTTCTAAAAATTCATATAGACACATCTTTTTTTTTTTTTTTTTAACATTTTACTTTGTGTGCTCAAGTGCTAGTAAAGGTCAAAGAAGAACTTGCAGAAGTTGGTCCTCTCTTCCTGCTGGGCCCCAAGGATCAAACTGAATTCAGGTCACCAGGCTTGGCAACAGACACTTTACCTGCTGACCTGTCTCTGGAGCCCAGAGACATCTTGTTCATTTCAGTAATTTCCTAGTTCTCCACTCACCTCAACTTCTTTGACTAGACATTTATATTGTTTCAACTACTAGTTTTAGAAACAATTTTGCAGAGAGAATCTCGGTGTCTATTCCTTGACTGTTTAATTAAAGGGATATTTTTAGAATGAAATGGAGTATGTGTTCACATGTTTTTAAAGGATTGTCAATTTGCTTCCCAAAACAAAACTGTATTCTGATTCATTTTGTTGAGCTAGAGCAATGTGTTACAAGTGTTTATTGAAATAATGAAGAAAGTGTGAACTCACACCCTGAAGAACACACTCACAGTCTAGAGACACAGCATGCTATTACTAACGCCCATTTTTCAGTAGCTACTATAAGCAACATGGTGCATGGTTTTGAAGCAGGCAGGTCCAGTGTCATCTTCAGTCTCTGGGACCACTGTTATCCTGAGTCCACTATTTAATCCTTCTTGGGTCTTAATTTGTGTCTCTTCTTTGCAAAACAAGAACCATTAAGTGCCTCCCCAATACAGTGATTATGAGAGTTAGTAGCCATGGTATTTTTTTAAGAGCATCACAAGAGCATGGCTTTGTGGGTAATCATTTAGGCTACATTGCTGAAACTAACAAAATGTATTTACTTACATTTTAAAAACACCAAAGGTTCAAAAACTATTGGTTTTATTTTGTTTTGAATATTCATTTCCTAAGAACAAAAAATCTCCACTGGAAGCACTCACAACCACTGGATGTCATAAGGCAGAATGTAGTATGGACAAATCCATTTACTTTTATTAGCACTGAAAAAATACAAAGCTCTAACTGAAAAGGAGAACGTTTGCTATAAGGGAATTAAGTTGAGGGTGATCAGATTGCAGGATAATCATGTACTCCTCTACCCATAGCAAGAGTCTCTCAGACAGTACAATAATGATGGCTTGGAGTTTATACACAATTGATTTGGGAGTGGCTACAAAAAGCAACCAGAAAACACCTAGGTGGCAGTTGTTTCCAGGCATTTAATTTAGTAGATTCTAAGTGCTATGATTTCCTAGAGGGATGAACACCTCAAATCTCTCTATGCAGGAAATTGTAATGTGTTCACTGTGAGACATCAAAAACACTTAAAATAGAAACTGCCAAGTGTACCTATGGTTTAAAGGTCACATTTATTAGGAGATTAAGAGGTGCATTATCCACAGACTATAAATAGTGCACAGCTGACTTTATTCACAGTCAAGCAGAAATGAAGCCAGTGCCAACCTATTTTGTAGACACTCTTGTTCTTTTGTTCCAAGAAAAGTTTGCACCGTAAGACTTGGACTTGGGTTTTGGAACTTTCTTCTCTTCCACATCATAGCTCCATCCTAGAAGGAAAAACAAAACCAAAACAAACCCACAGGAACAGAATTAATGAGGATGCTTTAGAAACACAGCAAAAAAGACTTACTTTTATAATTTCATGTTCATTTATGAACAGGAATAAATGTCAACATATCTGAAATATAAATATTTAGTAATTTGTTTCCTCTCAATCCTTTGCGCAGGAGTCCAAACACTGCCTGAAGATGGGTTGTCATATTTCAAAGTAAAGGTGTAACCTATGATTTAAATTTTTCCATACTTAAAATTCCTTGCTTAATTACCAACAGTTATGCAATATGTAGAATTAGATTTCTATAATGGCTTAATATGTGACAAATTTAACCACTACAAAAACCACTCAATAATATAATATAATAATAATCACCTCACTGCTCTAAGACCTAGTGTCTTTATGACAGTCTGGAACACATCAAAAAAAGAGATCTCTCCAACCCTGGAAGAGGATCAAGTTCTGTCCCCTTACTAACAAAAGTAAAAACTGAATTTCAATATTTGTTTAATGGTTAAATGATTAGTTCAAATCATAGACTAACAAGGCAAATTTTGAGACCTGATTAAAATCCAGCTGGATCTGAACATCTGGCGGGACCATGAGAGTTGTACTTAAACTCTCAATTTCAGGAGATTTTAAGACAAACCTAACTGAGCCTTTGGTCAAAAATGTTCTTTTCTGAGTTTGTGTCTTCTCTCCAGATGCCTTTGTGTGTGTGTATGTGTGTTTAATAACTTTGGAAACTGGACTTCTTTGTAAGACTATCTCTGTTTTTGAGTCCCATTTAGTTCTCCCCAAAGAAGGGAAAAATCAAATCAACAATCCTCCTTGAACAAACTGTTACCCTTATGCTCCCTTAGGCTAAGCAACTCTTACAGCTTTTATTTTCCTTTATAAAATCCACTTTCCCAACATTCTTTTCTCTCTGGACTCTTTTTCAAATAACTCACCTTGAAGCCTATTTCATGATCATCATGTATAAAATGTCCAAACTGCATGTTATATAGTCTAAACAAGTGACTTCTAAAGAATTCTAGTATCTCTTCATGGGTATAGTATATGCGTAACGCTCAGGCCAATTATCAATTATGCCATAAAACTGACTTGTGAAGTTCAAAATATCCTACTGTAATTGTCTAAGAAAGTCTAACAGTAGCACTGAATATGATACTTTAATCTGTTACACTACTTGATTCTCCACCATCCTATTACTGGTATTTAATATTCAAACAAAGCTCAATACCTACAAGGAAACTGGAAATCAGAAAGGCAAACTCAGCAATAGACCAGCTCAATTCTGTCACAGTTTTTTCCTTTTCTTTTTTTGGTGGTAGGTAAGTGCATACAATATAATTGGCAGAAAAAGGGTTTATGACAGAAGCTCCCCGGCTTCAGAATAGTCTTTCTCACTGTTTATCAGGTCCCTGAGATGTCTAGAGTTTGGAATGTGGCAGATGTTTGAATGGCTGCCTTAATTTAGCTATGTGATGTATGTGAGCTCATCACAATAAAGTGGTTAAGAAAAGAAACATAAAAGTACCTATTTAATTCATCTGCTCAACATTACTCAGAGTAAATGTTTTGAGTACTTCCCTATTCGTTAAGAAAACAACACTACAGTTTAAGAGAAGCAGATCTCATAAAATAAAGTACATTAGATGGTTACTCTCACTTCAAATCATTTATTAAAAGACATTAGGATAGTATATACTTCATAAGGTTGCCCTGAGGAATGGATCTACTCAAAGTAGTCATATAAATAAATTTCTATTATACTGAGTCAATTATATCTGTCTGTGTGAGGAATTGGACATAATTAGCAACAACCTAGTTATTAAGTATCGGAGTAGTCGGAGCATGATCATTCAAAGACTGCAAACTTGTAAGGCACTTTCCACATCAATCGGCAAATGCTGATAAGTGTAAAATATAATTTAATGAAGCAAATACAACATATTTACTGAACATTTTGTATTTGTTTAAATTACTGATAGCTTATTATATGTGAAAGACTATTTTTAGAGACTGGGGGTAAACGAAGGGATAGAACAAAACAAAACCACCTAAGCTGCTTAAAGAAGAAGAAAACTGAATAAACAAATGCATAGTAATCACGGTGCTGAAACACACCACTTGAATGACACTACATGCTGCTCTGATGACTTCTAGAAGGGCAAGCCCTCCTTCCTTCCTGGAGAAGGTAGCGTTAAGAGGTCTGGGAGTGCACCAGGTAGTCATCTCTGGGGAAGGTTTCAGGGAAAGAAAAAGTAGCTACTTAGGCCCTGAGGCGAGAACACAACTGGTAGACTGAGGTCTGTGTTTGACTTTGTAAGTTACTTGGCTTATGGGACAGGCATTATACATAATAAATTATACATATAATATATTTATATATACTGGGTGGTGGTGGTGCACACCTTTAATCCCAGCACTGGGGAGGCAGATCTCTGTGAGTTCAAGGCCTGCCTGGTCTACAAAGCTAGTTTTAGGACAGCCAGGGCTACACAGAGAAACTCTGTCTCAAAAAAAAAAAAAAAGTTATATGTAATTGGTTATGGTTTATTTATATCCAGACTAAATATATCTATTTTCAAAAAAAAAGCACATGGAAAAATAGGTTGAGTTTAAAGCCATACACTGTCCACCTCACATGTAAAACTAAATTTTTAAAAATATATCTTGTAAAAAAAAATATATCTTGTAGGGCTGGAGTTTGATTCCCAGCAACTGTATGGTGGCTCACAACCATTTACAGTGGGATCTGATACCCTCTTCTGGAATAAGGGTGTACATGCAGATAGAGCATTCATACACATAAAATAGAGCATTCAGACATATAAAATAAATAAGATATAAATATATACACACATATATTGTAATTACCGTTTTTGCTTTACCCACTCCCTTTCAACCTAATTGTATACTTTTTGTCATTTAAGAAGTATTTTTACAAGACTTTTTAACAATTCCTGAAAATGAAATGTATGTGCCCACAGTGCTCACTCCACCTTGTTCCAACTATGGAGGAAGAACCAAGATGTTTTCTAATGTTGAGTCTATGTCTTGTTGTGGCAGTCATTGGTTAGGTTACTCAGGAATTCTATGATTGACTGACTGATTTAGTTAATTAATTAATTAATTAATTTAATGCCAAATGATGGGTAAGAAACATGCTTTATCACCACCTACTGACTGGCAAGCCAGACTTTCCAGTTTAAGAATAGTGTCCTAACAGGAAATGAAGTGGGAATATATGGACAAAGTCCACTGCACACCTTACATCAGAGCCTGGGCACAACTCTGCTACTTATTATCTGTCTGGTTACAGACTTTCAGAATGCTGTCAGGGCCACTGCCATGAGAGAAGAGTAGAAAAGTTGGACACAGGTTTAGTTTTTCCTTTATAGTTATAGGTTTAGTTTCATGTATAGTTATCAATGGTGACACAGTTCAGAAGAGACCTGTGGTCTGCATCTGATCTCTATGACTGCTTCCCCCGTTACATGACTGTTAGGCTCTATAGGACAAACTCCCCTTATGTTTTTTGTGGAAACCAGCTTTGTTCTTAATGCTGAACAGGCGACTGCATTTGTCTGATGGAAAGCAATGGGGTTATGAGGCAGGCTGGCAGCAATCACAGCAGACAGTGAAGTAAAGGAAGACCATGGAACCTTGGATTTCCATTCACCAGCAGGTATTTCTGCTCCGTTCTGGGACACTAGTATGAGGAAGCTGCAAGAACAACACTTGAGAAGACACTGAACCTGTACTTAGCAACGGGCAAGCTATGGGAATTATACACAACCTTTATTTTTACTTCTCATCTGAAATTTGCTGCTACAAAGGAAGAATTTTATATGAAACTGAACACAGATTCAGTTAAATATTCACAATATCCAAATTTCTATTTTTCACCTTTAAGTTCTTTTAAAAAACAAATATTTCAAATTTGTATTTTAGATGAAACAGTACATTGTCTAAAGAATGCCTATATAAAACGAAGGTGCAGTCTACGACAATGGTCCCATATGTTATCTTATTAGGTCACTCAAAACCAGGCCCTGCTTTTTCCAGCTGTGCTACAAGAAGATCAAAGCAACTGAGTCCAAGGCAGCTGCCCAGGGATGGAGTAAAGCTCCTGGGACTGCCATCACTTCCCACTAGGAGAGTAGCCATATGGCACAGATTAGCCACAAATCCACCCACCAGCACCTACATGATGAGAAGCTGACTGCTGTTTCACACACTAGAATGCTTTCACAAAAATATTTTGTACTTTAAGCTATAGTATAAGAGAAGTACATCTGGCAAATGCTTAAGAAACTTAAAATGTGATCTTTAATGTCCAATAACTATTTTTTTTTCTAAAAGCAGGCCATCGTATTTTATAGATCTACACTGTGTCTGGACTGTTCTATTTCCGACGCAATGATTGGCACAATCTTTTCACACACGCACGTATATACCATGCACGCACACATGCCCTTGAAAACAAACCAGACACAATAGTTATGACTTTCATATGAGATAAAGAGAAATCCATTCATTTTGATTTACAGAACCATTTCATTTATGGCTCAGTAATAAAGAAAAACATTCATTTGTTCTTTTACCGTTTATGACAAATTTTACTGTAGATACCCCCAATTCCAGTCTTGCAAAAGGTTCTTCTAGAACCTTTGAGAACACAACCACAAACCTGACGTTAATTAGGATGGAAGCAAACAGTTTAATAATTTTTGCTGAAACAAGCAAACACCATATAATGTGACACACAACTGGAAGATACTACTATACCTTGGGAGATCCGAACAAACCAGTCTGAGACACTACAGGAGGCACAAGGGTAAATATTTAAGGCTTCAAGCTGCTTTCCTGGACTCTAATCTGGTATATCACACCTAGTGGAAGGCTAAGCAGACACCTAGCGTTTGAGGTGAGGAAAGGTAAGAAAGACCCAGGAATTTCACTTCAAAAATCCCACTTTGA